AGTTCTGGGCTATGTCCTGTCCCTGCTCCAGTTCCTAAAAACAGCTGAGCCATTTCCCCAAAGCACTTGGCTAGCACAGATGCCAGCGTGGAAAAATTCAGCCTGAAAGGGCAAAAGAGGTGAAAGTTCAGGTTTAATAAATGGGACCAAGCATTTATGCAGTCTTAATGTCACCATTAATCCTATTAATCCCAAGGAAAGGGAAGGGGAGGGCACTAAATGGTGAAGATGAGACAAAGGAGATTTTAAAAACAAAACAAAACTACAAAGAGGGGAGGGAGTGTGTGTGCATTTAAAGCCTCTGCTGCTTCTGTGGCATGAGATGTCACTGCAGTTGCACAGATGTGGCTTTCCCATGGCTGGCATTGTCACAAGGAGAGACACTTCTATGGCCAGTCTCACCCACCAATTTCTCAATGAAGCCTATAAACATATCTGAGATCACATATGCTGGAAAAACCACCAAAACTTCACCTCTATAAACATCTTTCTCCCAAAGAAAAAGCATTTCCCTTCGCTGAAAATACCTCGCTGCTACACTGGGATCAGGTTAGTGGTTCAATGACAACAGGAGGGACCCTCAGGAGCAAACGCAGCTTTACTGCAAGCAAACATTTAGACAGTACATAGATGATCTGGGACCCCACAGCTCCAGACTTCCCCCAGTGCCTGCAAAACGAGCAGGCACAGCAGGATGTGACGCTGCCACATTACGCACTCGGAGCTGAAATGACTCCTGGTCAGCCCCTTGGGGACAGATAATCAGCAGCTTGTTCCATGCTCCAGATTAAGAGGAGATAATCCACTGCTGCACGGCTTCGGTGTCAGATCAGAGCAATTCTGGCAACAGTTCCAACAGCACGAGGCGCCCCAGCAACAGCCGATGTAAATGCTCCCAAAGCCACAGGACATCCCAACCTCCAGCCAGAGGAGCTGCCGCCGCTTGGGCTGCCTGTTTGGGAGCAGCAACTGCTGCAAAGGTCAAGCACATAATGGAGGCAGCACAGGTTTGCCTCTCCTCTGGGACCTGAATGCCAAGGTTGAGAGATTTAGCAGCCAGAGAACCCGCAACAAACATTTCCAAAGAGCTGGAGGCTGGGGTTTGCTGCTCGAGCTGCATCCTGGCTGCACCTGCCTCTCACCCTCCAAGAGAAGCATCTGTCCCACTTGCTGGGACACCACTTAGATGAAGTGAATTTGTGCAATAACTCACCCCGCCTGCTCGGTCCCTTCACCCAGCTGTAGCACAGAGGATTTTCTTGTTAAACAGAGGAAGGTGCACAGCTCACTCTGTAGCAGCTTTTATTTTCATTTAGCTGCTAGTAATGAGGCCTTCATAAAGAGCTGCAACACTTAAATCAGAGAATGGGCCCATGCAAAGGAAGAGCTCTGGAAGGGTTCACATGCTTTTCTATCTCAACCCTAAAGGCTGGGACAATTACATGAGTCCCTGATTGTCACTCCTTCCTGGAGTTTGGACACATTACTCCAAAAAGTGGGGGAAGAATAAGGCTGGAGAAGGAGAACTGAAACGTTCAAGGCAGAACTGACCACCGTTGAGCTGATGGCCAAGCAGCAGGACTGAAGGAAGGAACCACCACACCACAAGCAGCCAATCACTCAATAGCAGGCTCTTAAGAAGACAGAACTACCACAGCAGTTTATGGCACAGCACTCCTAAGTTTTTGCAGAAGGGTCTGAGGACCTCAGAGAGGAGAATTCCTCAACCTGCCCCAGCCACCAGCAAAAGTGCTGCAGGACAGGGGGTGCCTTCAGCCCCAGGGTGACTGGGCTGGAAGGAGAGAAGTAGTCATGATTAAAAGTCTTCCAAGAGGTAAATGATGGAGGACAGTAATGAATTAATCCCTGCTTCCACCCCAGGCAAGATTAAAAAAATCTCTAAATCAGCTCTGTCTGCAGCAAATGAAGACTGAGATCTGATGTGCTCACAAATGGGGCCATTAGGCTTTGGGACAAGCTGGGGAGGTTGCTAATTCTCCTTCATTAGTTTCATATAGGGCAGAGAAACACCCTCCAGAGACAGGCTGGGCACAGTAAATGGAGCTACCAGGAACAGGATCACACCAATCCTCTTCCAGATTTGCCTGCCAAGGAGTCCCAGGGCTAAGATCAGGATAAGATGGGCAGAGGGCACACTGCGAGGGGCTGACAGAAGAACCACACAACTCAAACTGCTCTAACAGGCCTCCCAGAGCAAAGCTCACTCATTTTGAAGCTTCGTGCTTTGAGAGGTGTCTAGCTTGTCTTACCTTCATAACTCCCCACTGCCATGCAGCCCTACAGTCATCCCTGCCCCTACAAACAGGCAGACACACCCAGCACCACGTCTGCACCACGTCAGGGATGCCAGCACAGTGAAGTGTGCACATTCTTTGTTTTCAGCATTTCCAAAAGCCTCATCGTTCATTTAAGGTGAAGCAGATGCTGTTCCTCCAGTCTCTTTGAAATGGCTTATCTATGGGCTGGATTTCATTAAGTGTCTTGTTCTACATTTAATAAGCTTGCAAGTCTAGACACTTTGGTTCTCTCTCTATCACCCCTTTGGTGCACCAGCAGGTAGAGACAGCAGAGGTTAAGAGGGAAACACTCAGCCAGCAGATTTAGATGCTATCAAGATGATTGTGTAATTCCACTTTGACTCATTACCATTTCATACCCAGGGACTTTTTGCTCACCCCAGTGCCAATTCCTTTTGAAAGAAAGGGGCTGCTACCTGCTGCAGTAAAGAAGAGCAGTTTCCTGAGAGGTTCCAGGTAGACTTTGGGATATCAGTAGAAAATCCATGTTGAACCAATACCAAACAAGGGAGAAAAAGGTCCAGAGTAGCCGTGCAGCAGAACAGCCCTCTACTACCAGATGGCAATGATAAAGTATGAGGAGAACAAATGTCTCAGCAACCCAGTCCACTGGACTCTTTAGATACTTCCATGTGCAATTTGGTGTCACCTCATGCTCCCAGCCAACAAGGCCAGCCCAGGCAGGAGCCTGACTCCCTGCCTGTCCCTCCTGGAGATACCGTCTAACAGGCCTCCCAGAGCAAAGCTCACTCATTTTGAAGCTTCGTGCTTTGAGAGGTGTCTAGCTTGTCTTACCTTCATAACTCCCCACTGCCATGCAGCCCTACAGTCATCCCTGCCCCTACAAACAGGCAGACACACCCAGCACCACGTCTGCACCACGTCAGGGATGCCAGCACAGTGAAGTGTGCACATTCTTTGTTTTCAGCATTTCCAAAAGCCTCATCGTTCATTTAAGGTGAAGCAGATGCTGTTCCTCCAGTCTCTTTGAAATGGCTTATCTATGGGCTGGATTTCATTAAGTGTCTTGTTCTACATTTAATAAGCTTGCAAGTCTAGACACTTTGGTTCTCTCTCTATCACCCCTTTGGTGCACCAGCAGGTAGAGACAGCAGAGGTTAAGAGGGAAACACTCAGCCAGCAGATTTAGATGCTATCAAGATGATTGTGTAATTCCACTTTGACTCATTACCATTTCATACCCAGGGACTTTTTGCTCACCCCAGTGCCAATTCCTTTTGAAAGAAAGGGGCTGCTACCTGCTGCAGTAAAGAAGAGCAGTTTCCTGAGAGGTTCCAGGTAGACTTTGGGATATCAGTAGAAAATCCATGTTGAACCAATACCAAACAAGGGAGAAAAAGGTCCAGAGTAGCCGTGCAGCAGAACAGCCCTCTACTACCAGATGGCAATGATAAAGTATGAGGAGAACAAATGTCTCAGCAACCCAGTCCACTGGACTCTTTAGATACTTCCATGTGCAATTTGGTGTCACCTCATGCTCCCAGCCAACAAGGCCAGCCCAGGCAGGAGCCTGACTCCCTGCCTGTCCCTCCTGGAGATACCCCCAGGGCACTGAGGCACCCACAGATCCCCATGGGAACTGCCATGACCAAGAGATCAGCAGCAAAACTGAGAGATGCTGCTGGGACCTCAGATGGGTACTGTGCCCCGTGCCTGGGCTTCAGGGCATGCACCAGACGTACCCAGGCTCTCTCAGAAGAAAGGCACCCGCTGCAAGGCAGGCAACACTGGAAGGGTGTGTGCCTGCTGCTGTGGAGGGAGCTTCTTCCTGCAGCTCCCACGAGCCAGGCATGCCTGATGGGGACCCAGTCTGACAGGACCCTGCTGCAGATCCCAGGGCAATGCCTAGACCAGGCATTTGCTTTTCAGTCAGCAGTGAGCATCACTCCAGTGATGGGAACCCAGCCGAGACTTGGTTCAGCTTACTCCTCACCCTGCATCACACTTGAACCCTCGGCCCCCACCCAAAACCAGCTCCATGTTTATCTGCTGCTCTGCTTTCCCCAAAGGCTGAGAGAGATGGATACCAATCCTGCTGGTTCACAACATGCTGGGAAAGATCAGCATTTCTGTGGACCAGGGTTGCAAGATGTGCACATGACGACACGTGCTGCAGGGATGCACCAGCAGAACTAACTGCAACCTTACAGTAAAAGGAAAACCATTTTTTTCCAAAAGATTAATCAGAAAGAAAGATCTCTCTCTGTGAAACAAGCAGCTGTAATAAGCAAATACTTCTCTCTCATGGGATTGCAAAACAAGGCATGCTCTGCCCTCTGAGCCATGCGTCATGAACTTCACCAGTAGAGGGGAAGGCAGAGCAGAACAACTGTATAGAGAACAACAGGATGGGGATTTTTTACATTTCATCTCAAGGAGGACAAGGTCAAGGTCTCCACACTTACCGTCAAACTTCTTGTATCGGGAACTAAACATCGTTTGTAAGTGATTGCTGAGCTCCACCACAGCATTCCTGAAGTCGTGTTTACTTTGCTGACTGTACTTCTCCTCCATTTCTTGTGAGCAGCATGTGTAGCCTTGGGAGCAGACCTTCAAATGGTCACCTGAAAAGCAGAGAAGAAAACATCCCAAGTTAAAAAGATTCTCTAGGGAAGGTCACAGAGGTTGGCTTGTGAGGCAGGGGGTTGTGGGGACCCATAGCACCATCTCCTCCCAAGGAGGACCCCCTCACTATGACAGCTGGACCAAGCACACCAAACCTGATTCTGTAGAAGAATGTGACAGCAGCACATGTAAATACCTTGCCTTGTCTTTCTGCACGAACACTGAAAAAAGTGTCCTCTTATTTATTCAGTTAATAAATGGAATGAACAGATACTCATCTTGCACAGCATAATATGAAGAAACAGCAAATTGACCTGCATGTACTATGCTATCTTCCATGAAGCCTTTGCTGACTAATTTAATTACTTCCAATTCATTCACTTAATACACAACATCAATGGCAATGGTCCTTTTTGTACAGATAAATACTCTTCTCTTCACCTCTCCCCCTCCAATTATTGGAGGAGAAGAAGTAATCTCCTCTGAAGAGGAAGCAGTTATCACTGATATTAAAATACACTTGTTTTATGCAACAGCTCATGAAAAAGCTTTGTATTTGCCAGCTCCTAAATTTACAGTTCTGTCATCATCCTGGGCAAAATTGGGTGCTTGTTTTTGAAGAACTCCAACAGATTTTTCTTCCTTCACCCTGGCAGATAATCCTCTCCTAAAAGTCACTTGGCTCGAGCTGGGTCAGTCAGAGGAACCGTGAGGTGCTTCAGAATCAAAGTGCTTCAGTATCTACTGTAGTTTCAACATTTCACAGGCAATCTGGGCACAGGATATGGCCCCAAACAATTTGCTTTTAGAGTGTCTGACTGAGGGCAGGATGAGGCTGTCCTCTTCCAGCACCACCAAAAAACATCTTCTGTCAGGTTTCGTGGCTCAGGACAAACTCTTTGCATAGCAATCCCCAGCTCCAGCTTCCCTGACAGGTCCCACCACACAGCACCCTCACAGGCAAGTGGGCTGATGCTAAAGTGGTTCAAACTTAGGCAAATCCTTGTCAATGCTGAAGATATGATCAAAACAAGTAGTTATGGTGAAAACCTCATCCTTCCAAGTCAGATGGTATTTTAAAAGACACAGCCTACACGGAAGCTGCTGCCTTCTCTCCCATTTCACACTCTGCTGCCAAACCTTATCCTGCAGCAGGAGGAAGCAGATGGAGAAGTGAAGGCTCTTCCCCACCTGCTCACACCCTGGAAGCCACCAACAACCTCCAACCACCGATAAGGTGCAGAGACTCATGGTGAGAGTTGCAAAGAACTTGTCAGCTCCCAGCACGGGAAGTCACCTCTTCACAACAGGCTGTGAACTGTGCTCTTACAGAACAGCCATCCTCCTGCCAGAGCCTCAAAAGTGGGGTTAGTGAAAGAAAAGCAGTTTCCACAGGGTGCAAAGCAGAGCCTGCCTATGACTAACCCAAGCAGTTGCTTCTCTGCTTGTCTTGTGCAAGATCTTGTAACAACATCATTTGCCCAGCTACTCAACCTTTGCATCACCTTGCATGACTTTCTAGTGCTGAAATGTTACTATCTCTCCTTTCAGATAATTAAAGACAATTTTAAAATAAGTGATACACACACACATATATATGTAACGTTCTTAAGAGCCTCCTTCTAAATCTAGTCTCCTTTTATGTTACAGGGTTTGTTTTCCCCAGCATGAGAGACTTTGATCAACAGATAATTCTGCCACAACTAATTTATTGCACAAGATTGTCCACTGCTCTTGAACTACAGAAAGCTCAAAGTCTGTTATGGGAGGCACTGCTGCTTAGGCACAGCCTTCAGAAAACACTGAAAAAATCTCTCTCTGCTTAACAGATTTATTTTTCCTCCGTGGACTCCACTTCTTTCCATCTCAGAGGAGCAGCTCCAGCTGCAAATACACAGCATTAAAGGTCACATTTCCATTTAGCTTGGTGACTGTGAGGTAAAGATGCACCCAGAATTTTTTTATGTTGGTCACCAAATCCACCCCAGTGCACACCTGGGGACTCCTCTATGAGTCTGCCTTCCTAACAAGCATTAAAAAAAGAAAGTGCCCAAGTGCCAGGGCTTTATTTCACTTTTAATCTCTTTGCTTGAGTTCCAACACAGAACTAAGACTCTTTGACACAAAGGGAAACAAATAAACAGCAGTGAAGCAGTAATTACAGCTAGAGTGGCAGCTAATTTCACAGTGTCAAAATATTGTCAAGTCTTGAAACAGGTTGGCTTTTTTCCCTAAATTTCTTATGGAAGGGGAGGATGTTGATAATATTTTACCTGAAATGCACTTGGTGATTTCAGCACCATTTCCATGACTCACACCCACCTTTGGTGGTTACAACTTACACACCTCCTGTTCTTGTGTGTCGGAGGGGTAAACCTCTACCCTACTTGGCAAACTCAAACCTACTGACAGTGGGATTTCTTTTCTTAGTTACACTGTACAGACACTTGTGAAGTTGTCACAGATGCCCCTCGGATCTCTAAACCAGTGGCTTGAACAACTCCAATTTATTTCTGACAGAAAAATAAAAGCCCAGTATATTTCACAAACACAAGTAACAGCTTGATATCTACTTATATTATTAAACTAAGGTCACCATCCCATAAAGCAAATTAATGTTTCTGTGATTCCCCCTTGTCCCAGATTTGCACTGTGCCTCCCTGGGACACACGTGCAAATCCAAGGCAGGAGAACACAACTGACAGTAAAACAAGCTTGCTCAGATTCCATTTGGTTGATCATTAGGAAATTATGCTCCAAAATGCAACTCAGACATTCAAAAATGAATGACCAAGCAATCTAATTATGGAAGATATTTCTCAGTCATGTCAGCACTATGTGGTCTTGGCTTGGGATCAAGAATTAGCTCTGTCTGGAGCTGAGGAGCTCTGGCTACTCAGTGCTAAGCACAGGAGGATGCACTGTGTTATTCAGTGTTAAAAACCAAAGTTTCAGGCTTTGAGCTGCTTTTCTTGTAGTTTTCTTATGCCACAGTGGGAGATACCAATGGAAAGTCATTGGAAGACACTGGGGCTCCTGCATCCCCATGGAGAGGGTTATCCTTAGTACCTCTGCATCCCTGAGAGTATACCCTCATTTCAGCAAAGCAACAGGCACTGACACAGTCTGCAGAAATCTCATGCCTAGCTTTTGGTTTACATCAGCTGGCAGAGCTGAGCTGTTCAGGATCCATCCACAGGACTCACCCCATTCCCGAGCCTGCAGGGAGAGCAACACAACATCCCAGCACAGCATCACCTGCCGGGGTGACAGAGGCACCCTGCACCCCTTCAGTGAGTGGCTGTGGTGTTGGGAGCCACTTCCATCCCCTCAGACAGAGCCTCCGGGGCACTGCAACCTCAGACAGCAGCTTCAAAACACAACAGGGCTACAGGGGAATGAAAATGAAGCCTGAAAGCAGCCACTGCCAGCAGACCACCTGAGTATGGACCAGTGATGCACATGCAAAAGAACCAAGACCAAAGACAATGCTCTTCATTTTTCCAACCAGAAGTGAACTCCTATGAGGTAAAGGAATGAAAAATACAAGTAGTTAGGTCCATTCAAACAGAGATCTAATGTTTATGTATATTATGTAAAAAACCACTCCTGGTGTGTGCTCACTGTCAAGGACACATTCTGCAACAATTACTTCCCAAGTTAAAGCTCATCAAACAATGCCCATACAAGGCAACTCTTCATCTACTGTCAAGTGTTAAAGACTCAGAAGCTTTTGTAATTTATCACCATCTGAGCACAGCAAAAATATAACTCTGCCACAGCTTCCTTTCAAGTTCAGCTTTTTATTGAATTGTCTGGCAGGGCGTGCAATCATCACATCAGGGGCTGCAATGGCAAAAAGAGCTTAAGTAGCAGAGAACGGCTCCAAACATCTCCCGCATGTGCACACCATCACTGCAACTCGCCCTGGGTTTGCAGCAGATCTTTCCCAGGGCCTGTCACAGCAAGACTCTCTCTCTACTTTATATGACACATGGATACAGGGAGAAAAGTGAGGGACCAAAATTACAGAAGAGGCTTTCTCCTTGGCTGGTGAATAGGACACCTCTGGGGAACAGAGGTGAGGGTTTAAAGACAGAAATGCAATGGTTTGTGATGAACCATCAGAACATCCAATGAAATGCACTCAGAAAGGTAATCTTGCAAACTTCTGATTTAATCCATTACAGAAATGCCACATTCAGCAGATTCCAGGCACACGGAGTTTCTTCCAAATCAAGTCACTATTTTGCAATGTGTCAGAAAACCAGTTTTCATCAAATGAGTAAGTGTGCAGCACAAACTCAGGGGCTCTGTGATCCTGAAAAGCAGCTCCCTTCATTGAACACTTTTCCAAGACCTTTTCAAAATGTTGTTTCTGGATGTCTAACACACCTTCCCAGACTGCTGCTTCTTGCCTTGACCAAGTTTCTCCTGTAAGTGCACCCAGCTAAGCTTTCAGGAGTGTTTTGCTGGGAGGCAGGGGGACAGGGAGAGTGTTTCTTTAAAACACTCCTGTACACAGTCCAGTCCTTCATTGCAGCTTGGTAAACAAGCCAAAAGAAGTTTATGGTCTGAGATCTTCCTGTTGGACTTCGCTCCCCCGTGAGAAAACAGCCTTGGGTGAGCTGGGTGGGTGGAGGAGTGGGAGGTGAACACTGCTGGGAGACTGGTGAGTGGGGCCACCATTTCAGCCTCATGCTCTACCTCTTCCCTCTAGCACACATCAGCTTGTGTCATCTTTAAAGGAGTTTTATGACTTCCTCTGAACCAACAACCAAAGGAATCCCGGACTGTAATGCTGGGCTCTAATCCGATTTCACACTAGACTTGTCTTCTAATTATCACAGAATATTAGGCTTCCACCCATCATATATAATTGACATGCTACCAAGGCTTTACAAAACCCCCAACAAAGATGACAAGAATCACTAGCATCACCCCCGAGCCCAGCTCTGCTGCTCCGGCCCCATGTTAACAAGGGGTGAGAAGAAAAA